TTTTAGATTTTATTGCCAGGTTCATTGCACTAGGAGTTAATTTAAAAATACCTGCAACCCTTTCAAAACTTCTCTTTAGGAAACTATTCCTGTGCATAACCAGAAAATATTTTGAAGTGGCTTTAAAAATAGACTTTTCAGAAGATATTACATGTAGTAGATCTTTTTATTACAGATTCTAAATAGGATATGTAGGATTGCAGTTGAGAGGCTTTCCATGTTCTTCTGTCTACAGCTCTTTCCAGTAATACATGCCCCATTCAATCAATATAGTTAATTATTCTTCAATCAAAGAAATGTAATCTATTTCACCTCAATTTCTAGTCCATTTAAACCAATTATGTTCTCTTCATGTTTTGTGACTAGCAATTAATAGGTGGTATTTCTTCATTAGAACACTGATAAAGATTCTAGGGGCCAATTCACTTCCCTGAAGTATCGGCCATTTCACGAGCTCAGCAAACATATCCGCATTGAAATTAAAAGCAAGCTAACACAGGAAAAGTCAAAATGAAACAAATAGAGCAGGTGATCTTTCATGCTCATGTATCATTTTTATAACTATTTTTTGCACTTCTCCACTACGTGATTGTGACGTAGAAGTTAATGCCTTCTTGTTCTTCACTGTAATGCCAAAGCATTGAGATGTGGTTGGTTATAGCAAGAAAACTTTTGTGATAAAAGTTATGCCACAGCTTTTAATTCCCACTACATCATTACCACTTCACAGGGAGAGATAGTGCCCGTGTTTTCTAGGAAGGAGCTACGAAACACGTAAAGGGCAGGCTGTGAATCTTTGTAACAGAGTAAGATGGAATTGCTGCAGGGAGTTATCTGGCTGAGATGAACAGCAATAACCTGCCTTAAAAGAAAGCAACTGTAAGCAACACAGCTTCAAAACATCAGAGCAGCTCCTACATATTTCTGAGGATAAGGCTGATGAAGGATTTGCCTTTGTAGAGGGCCAGAATGAAAGACGTAAGACTATGGGATCAAAGTCTTGTAGCATGGCATTTAACAGCTGTAATAGTAAAGATTTTCCCAAGGTGTCCGAGAGACCTTTTTCCACATAAAACACAGTTGTAAGAAAACCTACAGCAAATCCATACAAACAGAAAAGACAATTACTTCCTTTGGGATTTAAACAGAAACAAAAAACAAAACAAAACAAAAAGTTGAGAAACATACCTTGACTTCTAGATGAAGTTTCTTGCCTTCCAGTGCTTGTGATCTTGTTTGGCCAACACAGCTGTCAAGTTCTAACAGTTACCTACAGCAACCATTAGCACTGATTAACACAGCCCAATTTCTTCAAATGCACATTTGGCATGGCATTTCAGTGAATTTTAGAGAAATTTTGCTGAATTTCTACCTAAAGTACACATACTATTTTCATAAATCGAGGTAAGTACTTAGAATGCAATCAATGTTGAGGAGGATATACTGTATTCTCATGTTAAAGCAGCAATGCAGTCACTTTTGAAGGTAGTGTTATAACCTATACCATTTCAACTGAATAAATAAGTCTACCTGTACTATATAGTCCTGGCTCTTTACATTTCAAATTGCCAGAGTCCATTTAGATTTCGGCACTTTCTATACAGTACATACATGTCTGCATCTAAATGTTTTATGTGCTCAAGAAGTAGCCTTGGTTTCCCTGACTTAGCTCCCCAAAATGATGTTCAATTGCCTCTTAGCAGACTGTATGTTTCTTACCAGATGCTGTTGTACTGTCTGAGCTCCAGACCAACTTAATGTAAGCAAGCTCCTATCCAAAAGCTGAACAGCTCTGACCAGATCTGCCTACCAAAAGGTTGCAGCCATATGTCTACAGCCAGGCCCTGACTTCAAAACCAGACTTCTCTATTTATATTGTGTGTATAGTAATTTTATTTTGGGGCAAATTCAAGACTGTGACTAACTCTTACATGGTAATTGGGCAAACCATCATGCCCTTGGTTAGTGCATCTGAAGCCATGTTAATAACATCTTATTTTAAAGCACTTAGTGTCTCCAGCTAATGAATAAAAAAAAAAGGTATGTAAAAAAATTTGTAAGAGTCCTAAGAAATCTGTACTGTATCACGTACTGACTAATTCTCAACAAAAACTATTATTTATGAAACGTCTTTCACCATAAGAACTGTCATAACTGCAGAAAGCTTTTCTCCAGTGTATTTTTATTAGGGATTCCTGCCATTATATTAACATACAAAACAATCAGGATGTTGACATATAGAAATGTGAAATTCACTGTACAAAGATAAGGCTCAAGTTACAGGTATATATTCCCCTTAGTCTCCATGAAATAAAACCATTTTTAATTCTTCCCAGAGTTGTGTTTATAAATGTTAGACAAACCACAAAATAGATTTCAAGTACATAACATTTTACAATATAATCCAAGCACAGACAGAAATACACAATACTGTACCTATAGGTGCTCCATAATCCAAGTCTGTCATCCTCACTAGTAAAATACTAGACTGCTACACTCTCTGAATATGCCCAACCATATCCTTCTGTACGTATTACGTGGTCCTGGCCTTTAAGTTATAGGACTCTCGTGACTTTCTGCTCAATTACTTTGATAGATCACAGAATATCAGGAAGGAAGGGAAGAATTTTAAAAGGCCAGGCCTGAACGTATGCACGTGGTTAGTAAAGGCAGGCACATGTGCACACACACACTTGCATTTAACCCTACATAAAACCTCACTGCACTGCACATTTTCTGAGATTATGTTCTCATGCAACTCAGCTATTTTCTGATAGAGTTAAATCAAGCATAACAATACTCCTGCTTCTAGACTGCTGTAATTTACAGGGACAAGACTATATTTTAGAGCATAGGATCTAACTTTTTTTTAAAAAAAAAAATCATAATTACAGATTTATATAGGAGCCTGTATGGAACCATGTCTCCATAGTCCAGCAGGACGCCAGCTCTCACAGCCTCCACCACTCAAAACACCTTTTCTGACACATTTGTTTAGAAACAATGCAAGTGAGTAATTCCCTGTTAAGGCCAAATGTCTACTTTAGTTCAGTCTCCATTTCTATTAGGCTGAATGATTATTATGTCATGGGAAAGGATCATTTAGCTGCAAGTAGCACAAGAAGAAATACACATCAAGTAGCTAATCAATAATGATTCTTCTGGGGAACAAATTGGCAAGGAGAAAGAAAGACAAGAGAAAAAAGGCAGTTGTTTAATTTAGCCTTTGTTGTTGGGAAATGAATAGCAATCCAAAAATTTTCAACTGAGAAAAGGAACTCCTAAGCCCTGTAACTGTTTTGTCCTTTAAAAACTGGAGAAGATTAGAAGGGAAGGAGAAATTCTCTAAGGAAATTGTAAATTTTCAAACTAGACATTTGTAAAGGCTTACATGAGAAAACCAAGCAAAACTGATTCTCTGATATTGAAACTAAAGGAATTTATTCAGTAGGAATTAGAGATGTGATTACAATGTGTTAAACGCACATCTAATAAAATAGCCTCAAATATGTCTCCAATTCATAAATCTCTAAGCAGGAGAAAGACTGATGTCAAAATCAGAGTTCCCTAGTTTAAATATGAAATACATCTGCATTCAAAAAGATCGGGGCAAGGGAGAGAATAAAAACTTTCTCCTCTTAAATACAACCTCTGTGGTACATTTGAGGGCCTTCAAATGTTCTCAGCATTGATAAGATTTTACTTAAGTATATTCTCTAAGCTATACTGGAATACCTTTAGATATACAAATCCATGTTACACAAAACAGCATTAGATCATGTAACTGGGCTCATAATAACAAAAAAGTATGCTGCTATATGGGAAAGGAAGCATATTGGTATGCACAGAAGATATGCTGTCTTAGAGATTAGTAATAATGGACATCAAGGATGAAGATGCATCTGTTAAAGTGTTTAAGCCTTTAACCGTGAGTCAGCAGAATACTTTTATGTCAACTGTACAGCCTACTGCTTTGCTTTCAAAAAGGAATAAATTTTTCTTCTCTATCATTTTTAGAAGTAGGTCACTCACCTACCAATTTAGCTAGGGTTTGGGCTTTTTTTTTTTTTGCCTTTTTTTTTTTTTTTTTTTGGCTACTTACTATTATCTTCTTCCATGTTATGTACAATAATCTACATTTAGACTCAAGACTCACTCTCTTCCAAGACATACTTGGACTATCTTGTAGAGACTTTCTACAGCACTGATAAAGTGTAAGACAACCTGACAGGTAAGAGGAAGGATCATTACTTTCGGTTCTGCTTATTTCCCCAAGCTTTCAGAAATTCTTCTGCGTACTTGGTGTCTTTTCACCTCCCCCAGGCAGCCCCTACTGAACTTGAGTGAACTTTCTATAATTTCCGAAACCACAAACCCTCTGTATAGAGCTATATTAAACTAACTCATTCTCCAGCCAGTAGTTTAAAAACAAATCATTGCTAAAACACTAAAAACATCCTACATGACCTTGTGCATTATTCTTACCAAGTTGTACATTTAAATAACATCAGAAGTTGTCTTTTGCTAAAAATTTACCAAAATATTTTAAACACATAAAAATGTAAAAAACCAAACAAACAGAAAAACAAACCAAAAACAAAAACCCAGCATAAACATTGCTTGTATAGGCATTGGTTAGAAGAGATTGCTGCACTAAGGAGTATATTCAAAAAAGTTTTTCTTTCAGTTTAGTGTCATGGATTGAAAGGTTAAGGGCAATGAAACTTATTGTGACCTCCTCTTACATGATGTAATAGATGAGCAGGAAGTCTGAAATGCAATTAAAATAAAGCTTCTTTATGGTTATTGAAAGGTGACTGTATAAGCCTGTAACTAAAGGGGCAATTTAAGTATGTAAAGGGAAATTAAGAACCTGAAGAGTCTGTAATGAACTGGATATAAAGACAGCTACTGACTGATGGCCCCAGGGGCATTATGTAAAACTGGCACTAATTGAAATTTTGAATATAGCCCTTAGTTGTATCATACTTATTTAAAATTTAAAAGCTGCCCAGCATGTCACGAATGAAGTTTATTTTGCAAGCCACCCACTGCCTAAGGGGGCAATAATACTCAATATGAAACTGCTGAAACTCCGGCGTCTGACGGATTTCATGGAGAAAAGAGATTTGAAGGTCCGACTCCAAGAGAACAAGGAGAAGAGGGAACACAAACAACAACAGTCCAAGGCCTACAAGGAGAAGTCTGGAGAAACTCTTCACAAAGGCATTCACCTCTATGTTGCCCATTAGAAAGTCATAGCTCCACCTAAGCGCTCTCCGAGCTTCTTTCAGTTCTTCCTCCTCTGCAATCAAAAATGCATTTTCATCTGCTTCCAGTTCCTCAAATGAATCTGTATCATCTTTCTCATTCTCTACTCTTGGACAGGTATCAAAGAGCATGTCAATCTCATCATCAACAGGGGTAGGCAGCAAGCTGGCACTAGGATTGTATACCAGTTCTGAGATGGTTAAAGGTTCCTCTTTCATCTTCTCTTCCTGTTCAATGGCAAGATCAACATTCTCCCCAGTGTCCTTAACTGGGGAGCTTGAAGTCACAGGTACTGAAATCTCATCTTCCCTTGGCAGTTGGATACCTGACAAAACAAGATGAAAACAGTGATCCTAAATTTCTGCCTTCCTAGTGGTAAAACTCAGCCTTCCAATAGTACCTAATATAGGTTGGAAGGAAGATTTTGCAATCATTTTGCATATTGAAACCAGACCACACCCAATAAAAAATGGAAAATATTTCTGAAAAGCCCTAGAGGAGGGCAACATCTTTACAATACTATAATACACCAGATCTGCTTACTTCATCCGATGCAGCTACCACTAATAATGATGTAATGCAAAACAGAAAACAGAACAGCTTGTTTTCTACTGGCAAGCAGAATTCTGATATAAATGAATACCTAGTACATACGTGAATTCGTGCTATTTAGTGTCTAACAATAATAATAATAATAATAATCATAATCATAACAACAACAACAACACCCACTCATCTTTATTCCTTTGAGATGAATGAGAAGAAAGTGGTAAAATAATGGCTGAAGTTGGGAATTTTTAATAGAGTATGGCATTAAAAAGACATAATAGATTACCTTGATAAATTCACATTAACAGTAGAGAGGGGAGGAAGGTTGGCACACAGTATGAGGATTAGATATCATTGAAATGGAATGAGAAGACCTCATCTCTTTTCTCCTTTTCCTTTATATATCTCTCTCCCCCTTACAGAAGAGTCTTTCTTAGCCCTACTGGTGTGCTTGTTTCTTATGACCCCACTCTTATGACCCATGGGAAAACAGTTTTAAATTTGTCCCATGTCTAACTCTCATTAACATCATCAGATGCCATCTATGTGCAAAAGGAACAGGCCATACACAGTGTCATGTGTGACAGCAATATATAGTAACACTTAGTACTTCTTGGTTTGTGATGTTAAGCACCTTTCCATTCTTTACTAATGACTAATCCAAATGCAACATATAGATAAGGATATAGCAGGTAAAACCAATACAAGGCTACATGACTGTCCAACAGGTAACTCAGGAAATTCATGTCAAAGTACTATTTATTATTCAAATTAGCCCAATCCTTTGATTTCAGTGAAAGATCTCTGTAAAACATAGCAAACTGACATCAAAGATTCATTCCAGTTTTAGTGTAGTAAAGATTAAGGTTCAGAGACCTTAAAATAATGCGGTATAGAAGAAAATGTATTATTACAGAAAAACAAGTGATCAGAAAAACAGTACCCTACAGTGCTAATTACACTAGACACATAATGGTTTTCTGGGTGAAGTAAAAGGGTCTCAGCAAGCTCTGTTGAAAGTTTTCGATTTAAAGGATAGCAAACATATAAAAAAATTAAACTAAACAAAAGGTCCATTATGATAATTTTGAGGTGCAGGAAATAAAGCATGACCTGAACCATGCTATAGGGAAGAGATGCACTACTGCTCTATAAACATATGATACTGGACAAAAATTGAAAAGCAAAAAACTTGATCACAAAGACATCTACCATACAGGAAGACACACAGCTTAGATGCATTTTGGATCACAATTCTAAGATACAATTTTAAATTTACTATAATTGACCAAAATTCTGCAAAGAATCTCACTTTGAGATCAGAAGCCTTTTCACATTTTTTCTTGAAAATGCCACTGATTTTTTTTCCCATTATTAGTCCTAAGAAATTTAGATACCATTCACTGTACTGAAATTATTCACTTTGTTTCTGAAACCTATTTTCCTTCTATTTGACTAGATAGCAAAAGAATATTCTTACACTATTGGCTAATGATTATTAAACTAGCAGTAAGCATAACTATATTTCAGCGAAGCTGGTGATACTTACCTTACCCTAGACTTTCTCACTGTTACAAATTCTGCATTTCTTGAACAATAAAGTTTTACAATCTCTATTTTCAATTTCTACTTTTTTTCCTCCTTTGATATCTACCATGAGTACCATGCTCAGGATGGGACATACCCACAAAAATCTGTTTCATAACTGATACCAGATTTGTGCAATACTGGGTCACTCTGCAGTAGACCTGCCCTGAGCCAGACACAGGTGCATGATCACATTTCTGCCAGAGCCTGAAATACTCAGTGTTTGCATAAAAATCTGCCAATACAAAGTTAACATGTCAAAACTTCGCAAATGAAATTAAACAAGTAGATTAACACTTTGTGAGATGAGGCTGCTGCTCTAGGAATCTTAAAGCTCGTTACAACACTTCCTCATGGAAATATCTGCCATAGAACCCTGCTGTATGCCAGCGTGACAGTTACCACAAAATCCTTCATATAACCTCTGCAGCTCTGTTAGCATGTTCTCCAGATAATCAAAAGGGTAAGGAAGGTACTTGCTAAGTTACCCCAGTTTATAGACTTCCCTAAAATTGGGTGAGCAATGACTTGTTAATACCTGGTGACTTTAAAATTATACTGAATTTAATATCAGTTGGGATGAAATGCCAATAAATACAACATAAAATATACAACATACTACAAATATTTCTAAAATATATAAAAAATTACAGAAAACCTGCACTTTAAGCCTACTTATATTAAATCACTCCTTGAACATGCTAGCTTGCTCCTTACATGACAAGACAACTTTCTGGATCCCCTTCTTAGTGCATGCTTTTATGTGTCATGTTATATTCCTTACAGAAAACCTCTTCATTACAGAACACCATCCTCAGGAAGCATCTCCTCCTTCTATAGAGCACGTTAGCTATTAAAATTCATCTCCCCTTTTAAGTCTCCAAAATGGTCCAGGCAGATGTCTCCCCTGGAAGATTTGTTATCTTGCCCTGCTCTCTGGGAGATACACTGGCCATGCCTCCATGTGAGGTTTCACATTCTGGCTAAATCAACCAAACCCACCATCTCTACTTCCTCTCATTTCAACCCTGAGCAAGCCAGCTTGTAAAGCTAACCTAAGAAAATAACTGTTTTTCTTCCTGCGTTAGTTCTCTGATGGTTTTTCCTCCTGAACTGGCTTGTCAGATGTTCTCAAGAGCATGGCACATTACCAGCGGTGGATAGAGAGCAGGAGTGCTCCTTTCACCAGCACCTAGCCAGCAGATCTGCATAGCTGAAATGAAACCTTGTCCTCAACAAAGAAAAGGCAGATGTCTCCTCATTAGCTTAATCTGACTGCCTAGCTAATAATTCCTTGCCTGAACTACTCTGTCCTCTCCTATCACAGCCATTTTAGAAATTCATCACATTTCAGCACGAAACATGTTTTGTGCTGGAACTTACTGTCTACACCAGTCTTTGCATTAACAAATATACTTGCCAGAGTCACCAAGAGGAGGATACAAACTGACAGAAACTAGACACAACAGTATATGAACAGAGGTGAGAACAGATTTGGGGGGGTGGGAACTTTCTCCTAGGCATACTGTAAAAGCAGGTAATGCTGGATCACCAAACCAGTCATTTGAGAGGGTACTCATGACATCTTAAAATAAAAAAGACAAAATTTTTAAACTATGGAGACCATCATTAAGCATCTACACATATCTTTAGATATACAGGTACTACAATTTGATTTTCAAATGCACTTTTCACTTTCTTTTAATAGGAGCAAAAGGTAAGTTGAGCCACTTACTTAGGCATCTCAATATGGGTTAAAGGACCTAATTTTAACCTCCCAAATTTCAGAATCCTGGCTATAGGCCTCTCCATACCTGCTTAGATGCAAGGTCAGTAATATATCTTCATCATATTTCTCATCATAGAGAGGACAGCTGCAGCTACTGCAAAGAAAGGTCACCCCAATTTATGATTCGTGAGCCTTCTCTCCTTCCCAGAGTAAATTCCAGCACACATAACATACATAGTGAACATAAACAAGAAAGATCATATTAACTTTCATTAAAACTGTACATTTTCAAATAGCTGGCAAACTTCTGACTTTGTGATTAACCTGTAGATAGAAGGCAGCAGAGGAATCTTTTCAGATCAGTGTTTTCTGAAGGGGTTTGTATTAAAATTGGAATGTGTTGCAGTTCCAAAGCATACATCAACTTTACAGTCGACTTTTTAGTTTGAGCTGATAACAAGAATTTTCAACTGTTTCATGTGTTGTTAAAACTTCTTAAATCAAAGCAGCTGCATTTTACATCAGCCAAATACAAGTGTAAATAAATAATGTTTTAATATAGAACACCGAAAATTTAGAATAGGCATTAACTGCTGCTGTTGCAAGCTCATTTGATATTAAAAAAATTAACCATATAGAGCTGTTCTTTTTGTTCCTTCATATTCCCTATAACACCAGAACTTTTCTCAAGTCAAGGACTAAGGAAAAAATTAGCTATTAACCATGGTCAATGTAAGCCCCAAGCAAAGTTCCAGTCATGTTGCAATATACAGATACGTATGTTGGGCCATTTAGATTTTGATGGTGTCAAAAGACATTAAAGCACCAAAATTCAAAATTATTCAATAAATATTCCAGTGACACAAATTTAAGAAAGGAGCAAGTTTTTCAGATCATTTACTTTTTGGATAGCCTTCAAGAGAGTCAGTTACCTGAAGTAATAAAACCAGGTTAAAAGAAAAAAAAAAAATCTCAAAGTCTTCCAATGGAAAAAGAGAATCTAAAAGCTAAAGCAAGGCCAAAGCCAATATCCTTTAATTACTCTACAACATTGCTGCAAATCCTGCGCTCCTAGTCATGCATAACAATTATTTTGCTACTACTCTTATAAGGCTATAATTTTGTACAATTGGGGGAGGGGGGCTAGATTTTGAAAAGTCTACTGTTTCTTTAGTAATAGCTAAAATTTATATTGCATTTGGATTTAAAGGACTATGACTTCAGCATTAAATTACATTGGAGAAGCACGTCTTCCTTCCATTCTTTACTTTATATTTTTACCAGCAATTTACATTCCATAGATCAGAATCTTTTAACACATATTACTGGAGTAACAAGTAAATAAGCTCAATTTTATTTCTTACATATATCTGTATCAAAAAATTGCTACATTTTTCTGGCAACCAGAGAAATTTTACAAAGCCAGAGGGACCTCGTTACACTAGACAAAACTCAGTACT